CCAAGTTAAAGCATTTATTGAAACATAATATTTGCTACAGCCCCAAGAAATGGTTGGTGGAGTGCACATGCATCTGTTTCCTTACTTTTGGTGTGAAAACCACTGGTTAAAGCATAATGGCTACCACGAGTTTGACTACACTTTAGATGATATGAATACCAGTCTCATCGGAAGTATCTAATTGAAGGTATACACTTCCTTATGCAACTTGAACCACTGTCTTTTTGCAACAGTTGGGGAAATGATGGAAATTTCAGAGCCTTGCTCTGTTGGAGCTAGCTTTCCCATTTATAATGAACTAGACTCGGCTTTACATCAAATTCTGTCAATGTCTTCTGTTGATGCGGACAGTATTTCCATTTCTGCTCCAAATTTGAGCAGCAAGGCCCCACACTGTATTCAACATTAGGACTGTAATAAGTACATGACTGAATTCACCGACAGAAGCATTTCCATGTTACCACAAGATATTCAGTTTTTTCTTCTATATCTCTTCAATATTAAGAGTAAAATTACATTCATATCTGTTCTGATTTGAAGACTGAGAAGGTGATCGGTCTAAACAAAGACAATCTCAGCATTTTACAGTTGCACAGGCAGTGAGATAACCTACCACTGATTGTAACAAGCATACAATCAAAGCAGTCTGAGGTGGTGTTTGTAGCAGCTTTACTTCTACATGAAGAGAAAACATCAACAGCAGCACCACTGAACAAGTTCCAACTCTTTCTTACTTTTCAGCTTTCAAAGTCTGAATGTTTATCAGCTTACCCTTTTCTTTCTACTTCAGAAAGCAAGCTACTTTCAGCTTCAGAACTGTAGAGCATTTTTGCACATAACCTGGTTATCAAGTGATATACAAGATCCCATCAAGATACACACATCCTGATACACATCCCTGAAGTCTGAGGATGTTGTAGCAAAAAGCAACTGAAGAGAACATACAACAAAAGCCTACCATGACAGTTAGCAGGGCACACACCAAACCAGAAACCAGTTCTGCTGTCAGATACAATGTGGAATAAAGCTGTTAATTTTCTGTATCTTCCACTTCAAATTTGAAACCTAATAACACAAGATGGTATTTTCAAGTGTTATTTTATCAAAAATTGCAACTGCACTGCACAGTCCTATGCCAATCTACAAAAAACAATCTTGGACATAAGCTGTTGAAGTGGAAGATACTTTGACACTGGAGAAAAACAGCAGTACTCTGTAATCAATGCACAGAATGTCCTGCCTTGTCAACAGCACGGACAATAAGGTATAAACTCCTGCATGAACACAAGGTAAGCAATTTATAGCAATTATGCAGCCATTTAGACTTTAGAAATGCCTGAGCCTTACCCCCATTAGATACGCTGCAAATGTTGAGGAAAAAAAGGAGAGTTGATGTGAACAGAGTTTTCTGCTTTACTGGTTCCGTAACCTTTTTTCCTCTGAAGCCACAAGGAAGCAAGTGAGCAGTGGAGAAGGGACAGAGAACTGCCTCTTTCAGCTGCACTATCAGTTTCTGTACAAGAGACCATAGCCTTTTTCTAGCTTTGAAGAAAGGACTATCACAAGTTACCACATGCAAGTTATGGAAGTCACAACACACAGCATCTGAATTTGGCAGGGTGATGAGGAAAGCTGGCTTTTGGTCTGGGTTTTTTGGTGTGTTTATTTCTTTCTTTGTTTCAGGTTTTGTTTGTTTTTTTAAATAAAGGCTAGTGAACTAAGTTGCCTTGGAAAACAAGAATTTTCTTAAACCCCGAACTAGCTTGGAAGAATTCTACTGCCTGGCTGATCAGAGTGGGTAATACAAGCTATCCTGCAGATAACAATTAGAAAAGTGTATTACCGCAGCAGCAAACATTGTTCTGGAACACACCTATCCTCATAATAGCAACTATTCTTGAACATACAAGTGAACATTACGGCTATTGTGTGTGATTTACTTATTTTCCAACACTCATCTCCATGGGAAAACCTCATAAGACTCATACTTAGTTTCATACTGGAGACTTAGCTGTGCTCTGGAGATAGTTATTATTTTGGGTGAATGTGTTGACTAGTTAAGATGTTCATTCCACTTAAAAATCTGGTAAATTGCAGTACTTGAGAGAAAGACTTATGTAGTATTGAAATACAGCAGAATTCAAGACAAGCTTGTGGAGCCTACCAAATAGCTTGCATTCTGGTGATATAGGTATCTTAAGCTGGATGCAGAGTATAAATGTTCCATTTATACTTCTGTTCCATTGTAAAGTGCACTTTCTTCTGATCTCCAAATGATGAAGTACTTTTCTTTAGTTAACTGGTGTGCTTACAGCCTATTCCAGACGTGATTTTTCCTTCTGTTTGCTCATGTGCTTGTCTTTAGTACCACAATGAATGAGATTTACCCAAGGTTTTTCTGCCTCCTCCTAGTTGGATTTTATTAGGACTACCTACCAATCATTCACCACTGAAACATTTAAAATGAACGCTACCTAAGACAGATGGGTTAGCTACAGAAGTGGATCGGGACAACGGCTAGTCTACAGATGAAGCCTGGGTGCACACAATGCATTGCTGTAAAAGTCATTGAGCTGCTTGGAATTAACAAAAAATGCCTAAGCATTTTGCACCATATAAGAAGCATTACTCCGCAATACTGAAGGCAACTTCTATTATATCTCACAGTATAGGAGCTCAAAGATGAACCAGAGAGAAGAAAACATTTTTCACATGTTTAAACTGGTACTTACTGCCACAGGAAGCCATAAGACATTAACAAGAATTAAGGGGCTGGACTTTTTATTCAGGGGATGATCAAGAACAGCCAGAGTCCTCTTAAAATCAGTCTTGTTCAAGGTACTTAAACATTCAGCTTCAAGGTTTAAACCAAGCCTGGTCATAGGAAATGACAGCAGAGCCTAATTTGGTAAAGGGGATTATCTCATGTTTAACACCTGTAAGTTTATTTTTTCTGAATCACCTAGTATCAGTTCCCATGGAAGTGACAGGCAGAGGGAAGTTGTGTCACTGTTGAATTAGTGACTACCACAAAGTATTTATGTGGGGGACAGAGACTGCTATCTATGTAGATTCAGCATTTCTCATCACCCAATCAAGTATTTTCCATTCAACTTTCAAGTAACATTACAGGTTTTGCCCCCTCCTTCCCCCCCCCAGAGGAAGCAGTATTAAGCTTATACCAACATACGCATAACTTTAAAAACAAAGTCTGTCCCAAAAGCCTAGGAACTGTGCATTCCCTGCTTTATAAAGCACTCCATTCATTTTTGCATCACTGTCTAGATAGTATTATTAGTGTTTATACTCCACTGTAATGATTATAGCAACTGCTGCTTAAAATATTGAATATTAAATACCACAGAAGACACACTAAAACAGGTAGACTTTTCAGTTTTACTAGGAAACTTGATTATCCCCTTGTTTTTATTGAAAATTGAAAAGCATTTCTCACTAAGAGTTATTTCTGTGCTGAAATTTCAGGTTTGCCTCTCTCATAAACACCAACACGTGTTCCAAAGCAGCTCTATCGAGCTAGGCCCACCAGTGCAAAACCGCCTTTTCTGCGGGAAGAGAAAGGAGGTTCAGTAGGAAACTCTGAAACAGCAGTCCTGGAGGGTCAGGAATAACTGAACAGCAGACCGCAACGTGGACAACGAGAGCACATATGCACAGCACTCGAAGTGACATAACCTGGTGTTTATGACAAGAGCAGCACTAAAATACACTTAGACTCTGATCGCAAGTGCAGCAGCAGTTCCCTAACAAAAACACCTACCTCCCCTGCAAGCAAACTCGGTTGAACCCAGTAAAGCAGTGACTTGCACTGACCCGCCGCAGCGCCGGACCGCGGGCTGCGTCCACCACAGCGCGAACCGTTACCGCGGACACAACGGGCCCAGCCCTC